GACTCATTTTGCTTCTATAATTATTTATAATGTTTAGGATAGTTTGGTCATTGTATTTAGACCATTAGAGTATTTTTTGAGAGGAAAAGTTTAGTTAGGTAAAGTTAGCTAAATTAAGTCATATTTAGGTGTAATTTGAGTTGCATTTGGTACACATGTGCTAGCCTAAGGTTGGCTACAGATGATCCGCACCAAGTGACCTCAAATTAATCCTAAATGCAACCTAAATCAAATTGGATCTGCACATGGAGCTAGCATGTGGCTACCAAAGAAATTTGAATTTCAAATTCCATTTGAAATTCAAATTTTTGGTGCTAATGACAAGCATTGAGTGTGGCACCAATTTACTTTCTCACTTAGCCTATAAATTGAGCTCTCCTCCCTCCATTGTATTCACTTTGAGTATTATATGCAGAACATTTAACATTTTAGCCAAATTCTCTTTACTTGAAGTCCATTTAGATGCATAGGTTCTAGGGTTCCTATAAGACTTCTAGATTTAGCATCTTGTGAGCAATCATTTATTCCCTTGGCTTAGGTGCTTCCAACTCTAGAATTTCCAGCATCTTCACCTCTGATCCTTCTCTTCTCAAGTCCAAAAATCAATTCAAAGAAGATCCAAGGAGCTTGGAGCTAGTCAAATGAAGAATTCTTCCATCATTCTTCAATATTAGCCATCAATTGTTCATAACCTAACATTAAATAGATTAATTATATAACAAATAATATTTAATAACATTTTAGATAAATTATACTTAATTTTCATTTCCATTTTTATCTTATTTAATCACTTTTATCATAAGATAAAAATAGGATTAAAAAGAAGTTAAATATTATTAAATATTAATTGTCTTTTCATTTGATTAATATCCTATCATAATATTCGCTTGGCATTCTCATGATAAACTCTTTAATCTTATTCGCATTCATAGATAAAGAATAACTTTCTTCTCAATATATTTTAAGAGAGGAAAATTAGTGTGTGGGTTGAATGACAAACTATACAACCTCCAATGGTGCAACATTTTTTGTTTGGAACTCTTGTCCCTCTATTTTTTCTCGGTTATTTAGGGCAAAAGTTATGCAGATTGCTTTTATTAGAAGTTAGTATTGATTTGTTTCTTTTTGTTGTACTTTTCAAATCATAAAAAAAAAAATCATATATTGATCAATGTTATATTTTTAATGATTAATGAATGGAGAAAACATTAGCAATTTTATAAAATTGAATATTAAAATTATGAAATTAAAATTCAAAAATCAAAGTTACATATAAGATATTTTTTAGATATAAAAAGTACAAATTTACCAAATAATTTTAATAAGTAGATTCAATATCATATTTGAAAAACATTTGATACTTCCTTATATATATTCAAATCAATGTATAAAATATTTCTATGATTATCTGTCTATTTGAATTAATGAAATAAAATATTAAATAGTTTTTTAATTTTTTTATAAATTTGTAGACTTAATCTATGTACTAAAAAATTTTAATTTAATGATTGGATCGTTGAAATTTGATGTAGAATATGAGTTATTGATTAGAATAAATCTAGATAGACTTATTCTTATATATAAGTGATCCATTTACTCCAAGAGTTAAGTCCAGTTAAACCTTTTCCTCTCAAATAAAATTGTCTACCTAAACTTACTGTGTTCAATAACTCATGTTCTACATCAAATTTCAACGATCTAACCATTGAATTTTAAGTTCTTAATGCATAGATCAAATCTACAAATTTTTAAAAATTTTAAAATCATTTGATAGTTTGTTTCGTTAATTCAAATTAACGTATAAAGGAAAAATTCGTTTACTCCAAGAATAAGTCTACCTAAACTTACTCCGTTCAATGACTCATACTCTTCATCAAATCTCAATAATCTAATCGTTGAATTTAAATTTCTTAATGCAAAAATCAAATTTACAAATTTTTTTAAACATTTGAAAATCGTTTAATACTTTTTTCATTAGTTCAAATCAACATATAAAATATTTTTTTTAAATAGTTAAACAAAACATATTTTTATGTTTTTCATTTTCAAGAAATAAAAAATAAATTTTCAAAATAAACATGTTTTCTAAATCCTATAAATTTGAAAATGAAAAATATTTTCAAAAATAAAGATAGAAAATGAAAATAAGAAGAAAAAAAATCTTAATTAAACCAAACTGGATTACCTTCTCATGTTTAGTTTATTTAAAAAAAATAACAGAAAATATTTTTATTTTTCCACAAAATTAGTTTATGTGACTACGTTGCCTTAACTATTCCCGCAAATTATTGTACCTTGATATTAATGGTGAGATATTCTTGCAGACACGCAACTAACAAGTATATTTAGGCATAACCAATCAATGAGATACACGTATTAAATGAAAATTAAAACAAAATGGAAGGTTAGAAAATAACAAAAACCTAATAATAGAGTTAAAAAAATATGTATTAGATAGGTTGGTCGAAAATGTTAAAATTAAAGTGAGTTAATTTAACCGATCTCAATTTTATAAAATTAACTTATAAAATGATAATTATTTTTTACTTATATAATTTATAATTGTTTTATCTCTAGTTAATATGAAATTTGATTTTTTTCCAATACACCCATTCATGTCTAATATTATTTGTAATTTAGGGTTTAGGGTTTTAATGATACATGATAGATGAAATTTGAATTTTTCCAATTCACCTCTTCACATCCCGTACTTCTAAACTTGATAAGTAGATCAATGGTGGATGACCCTATTATAATATATTTAAATAGCTCTCATATCATCTTATAATAATGAATTTGGATCCAATTCAATCCTACAAAACCAACTTATAAGGTATGAATTGTTCTCATTTTATATACACTATTATATGGTATTAGGGAATGTTTGGTAGGGAAGAAGTTTTTTTATACTCAAAAATCATGATTCCTAATTTCTTAAAAATAACAAATCTCAGGAATAATAATTTTTAAGAATAGTTAAAATCTATTTGTTTACTAATAAAGGTTTCTGATTATATTCATACAAGATTTCAAGGAATTAAAGATTTTCACATTTGATTACAATAGTATATTTTTTTGTATATACATATTTTTTTACAAAAAATATTCTTTATTAAATTAACTTCATTATATATATTTATTTACTGAAATCTTATTACAAATATTACAGTAAACTTTTTTATGATCTAATTACTTTTTGAAGATAATAAAAAATAAATACATGTATAAACAAATTTTTATATAATAATATTTCCATCGTATAAAACTTAAGTTATTTTAAAAAGTTAAAAACTTAGAGTTAAAATTATTTAAATATAAAATCAAAAAAGAAATAAACAAAGAAAAGTGTTACTTTATAATTAAGAAGGATTAAAATATGTTATTTTATTTCCTGCAAAAAAAATTAATAAAAAGTGTTAACAAATATCATTAAATTATAGAAACAAAATATACTTTAATAATATTATTAGAATTGATAAGATAAAGAAATATAATGATATACAAGAGAGAGAGGGAGAGAAATAAAGATATGGGAGGGAGAGAGGGGGCATAGGAGGAGGAGAGAGAATGAGAGGGAGGCAAAGGGAGGGAGAGAGAGGGGGGAAGGGGAGTGAGAGTAGGAGAGAAGTGAGAGAGAGAAAGAGAAATAGAAGTCTCTCAACCCACACATGAGAATGTTTTTGTAGAAAAATGAAATAAAAATAATTTATTAAAAATAATATTTTTTTGAAAAAAAATTAAATAAATACCAAACATGAAAAACTTAACATTCCCTATCTAAGATTCTCAAAAAAAAATAAAAGAAAATTCAAACCAAATGTTCCCTTAGTCTTAGACAATGTAAAATCTCTGATATACCTTTTTTTTAAGATAGCTTCTACTTACTTTGCTTTTATTTTTCTTTCTACTTCACTTCTGCTTTTTACATGCCTCTTTTATAATCAAACATAATAATATTAATATTAAAAATTATAATATATAAAATTATATTTTATGAATAATAATCAATATTTTATTATTATTTTAAAAATATTTATGATATTATAAATATTCATTAATTTTGTAAATTCAACCGTTGAATTATAACTTCATATCACTTTATATATTTATATCAATTTTTATTAAAATTGAACAACAACTTGAAGGTAATCAAAATGTTCATATTTTATTATATTTTGAAATGTATATATTACATCAATCGTATTTTATAAGAATGAAGTATTAAATCATCTTAGATTAATATAAAATTTTGTATATATGATCTAAGAGAGTAAAGAACTTTCAATATAATGGTTGGATTTATAAAATTCACATTTAATATAAAATTCACATTTAATATAAAATTATTGAACGATATAATATTTAGTAAAAGTTATAATGGTGTCGTTTGAATCCTCCTCTCTCTATACACTATTTAATTACTTTATATTATATGTGGATTTTGTCAATCCAACAACTGAATTATAATTTCATATTACCTTATATGTGTATATTAAATTTTGTCAAAATCGAATAATAATTTAAAGGTAATCAAAATGTTCATATTTTAATATATTTTAATATATATATATATATATATGTCAATTATTTTTTCAAAAATAAGGTATCAAACCATTTTAAATTAATATAAAATTGTGTATATATGATTTAAGAGTAAGAAATTTTTAATGTGTAAGTTTTGAAAAATCCATATTTAATTGAAAGTTATCGAACGGTGTAATAGTTAGTAAAAATTACATCAATGTCATTTTCTCTATATATGTATATAATATTAAATTCATAATATAATTATATTTAAAATAATTATCTCTTGACATTATAATATTTAAAATATTATAAACTTTATCGTAAAACATTATATATTAATATTATAATTAAAAAAAACGTTTTTATTAACCTACCAAATACGTGATCATGCTGGGAAAGCAATCACAATTCTTTTTTTTTTTTTCAGTTTTCACGTTTTGTTTTTATAACTTGCTATTTTCGAACCGATAGTTTATTTTAATTTCTATTTAATATATGCAATTCAGATTCATTGATTCATTGTACCAAACAGGGATGCTCTGCGTTATGAAATCCAACGATGCTCTGCGACACCTTACTGAAATGGCACTCTTCTTGTTCTACACTTTTCTTTCCCTCGCTTTCATCTTCACTCTTCTTAAGATTTTGCTCCAAACCCAATCAAGAAGATTCAGAAACCTTCCACCGGGTCCGCCAACCCTCCCCATCATCGGAAACCTCCACCACCTCAAGCCGCCAAATCACCACGCCTTCGCCGTGCTATCTCAAACCTACGGCGACGTCATCTCCCTCAGGTTCGGGCGGCGCCTCGTGGTGGTGCTGTCGTCGCTCTCCGTCGTGCAACAATGTTTCGCCGCGAACGATGTTGTCCTTGCGAACCGTCCTCGCTTCCTCGTCGGGAAGTACGTCTCCTACGACTACACCACCCTCGGTTCTACCTCGTACGGCCACCACTGGCGAAACCTCCGCCGCATCGCCACCGTGGACGTCCTCTCCACTCATCGCCTCAACTCGTTTGTCGGAGTTCGGAGGGACGAGATTAGGCGGCTGGTTATGAAGCTGGGACAGGACGCCACGTGTCGCGAGGGCGAGGGGTTTGCGAAGGTGGAACTCAGGTGGAGGCTGACGGAGATGACGTTCAACAACATGATGAGGATGATAACGGGGAGGAGGTGTTACGGTCAGGACTGTGACGTAAAGGAGGCTGAGACGGCGAGGCAGTTTAGAGAGGTCATAACGGAGATGGTGTCACTTTCAGGGGCCAACAACAAGGGTGACTTCTTACCTCTACTCAGGTTTTCTTTTTTCTTCTTTTTTTTGGTTTAAACGACAACTATCGCCACCAAGGTAATCTTGTTGTTCTAGCTAGGTAGCAGTTATAACACAATATCACTTTCCTTCACTTTTTTTTTTTTCTTTTTTCTCAACATGCATAATTATTTGTACCTGATCGAATACACTTCTCCGGGATTAATTGTTACTCGATGATATATAGGTTATTTGATTTTGAGGATCTGGAAAAGAGGCTGAAGAGGATTGCGGAGAGAGCTGATGCGTTCTTGCATAGTCTTATTGAGGAGCACCGCAGTGGGAAGCACGGCAGTGTTGACAACATGATTGATCATCTCTTGAAGCTATGCCAGTTGCAACCCGAGTACTACTCCGATCATATTATCAAAGGTCTTATTCAGGTAATTATTATTATCAATTATAATAGGATAAAATTCATAAAAGAGTGACAAATTTTAATGCTATACAGTGTTTGATGCATATGGCGTCAAAAATAAAATGTTTGATGCATATTTAGGAATGGTAAAACTATCCTCATCCGAGAGTATTTGTGAATAAAATCTGTTACGAATAATAAATGGATAGGTTAATTGGGTACCGACAGATAATGGAGACGGATAATTTTTTACCCGTTTATAAATAGGGTGGGGGCGGGTATGATGATATTCATGCCCGTAGATACCCGTTTAATATTATTTCTTAAATATCCTAATTATCTTTGTACCACATAATCCTAAAACTACACCCACTCATCTTATTTTCTTACAAAAGTGAGGTTAATGAAGTTATTGACATGTGTTAAGCGTGTTATAGAATTATGTTGGATGTAATTTAATTAATTTTCTAGTTTTAATTGGACCAATAAGATTTATGTATTTTAAGTTGTTTACTTTGTTTTAAAATTATGAGATTGAATTATTGTAGCTTTGTGATGAGACTTTAACTTACTTGTGAGATTAATGTATTTTAAGTTAGAGTTAATCACCTATATACTGTCAATGTAAAATTTTTTTATACTGGCAACTAATCAGATCTGTTAATAGTGTCATGTCATTTGCTCATTTAATTAAATTAAAATAAAAAAGACCCTATTAACATATCTGATTGGTTTTTAGTGTAAAAAAACTTTACTCTGACAGTATATAGGTGATTAATTCTTTAAGTTATTGATTATCTTGTATTTTTATTATTATTTCAACAAAATTAACGTTAAATACAAGTTCAAAATTAATATTGAATTTTTATTTTTAATATTTCAATGACATTAAAATATAAACTTAAAATTATTTGTAATATAATTTTTTTAATTTCTTAAAAATTTTATAAATATCCATGGATATTTGTGGATATTCGTGGGTATTTAAGAAATTCATAGATACCCGCTTAATGAATACTCGCGCGGTATGAGTCCAATTTTCATTCAGCAGGGCGGGGGCGGGTTTACTATTACCGGTCCCTTGAAGCCTCATTGCCATCCCTATGCATATTACACAACAACCAAAATAATGATTATTATTATTATGTTATAATTTTACGTGAACAAGAAAATAATACCGTTTCTTATTTGTATGAGAAATAATAAATATATATTATTATTTTTTAATTATAAGAAAAAATATTTTAAGATGTATTAAATGTTAAGTTTTCTGGATATTTAAATGCATTGATTCATCTATTAATAATATAAGTAAATTCATTAGGTGAAAAAACTACTTCTTAAATTAGGTGTAATGCCATTAAATATTATCAATATTTAAATCATTCAATTAAAATGGTACTTTTTGAATAATATTTAATTTTATAATATTATAATATTAACCACCTTAATTACTAGTACTGTATATAAAGGATCCGAGGAAGTATGATATAGTATAAATTAATTTTATTGGCTATGCACAAAATATTATATTTATTTATATAATAATAAGTATTTTTTCTAATTTTTATATAAGACATAAATAATTAAATTATTAAAATCAATTAAAAAATAGTTAATTTCAATTAATAATATCATTAAATTAATTTTATTTTCAAAACATTTGTATGCAATAACTTAAGTAGTAATTGTATTTAATAACACTACACCTAATTCAAATAAATGAACTTTTTCTACCTATGAATGTGCATTGTATTGATAATAGATCAATAGATGTATCAACTTGCATTAAGGAATAAAAATAAAATAGCAATTAATCACTACAAGCAAATTCACTCGTAGTTATAGACAAAAATTGTCACTAAAACTTTAAAATTTGTATATGAATCTCTATTTTTAACTTACACACAATCTATTCATATTATGTGAGTTGTTTAACAATGATTTTATAAGTTTTATCTATAACAAATAATTATAAGTACAAGTATTTTAATTTTATCTATATTAAATATTTTATAGATAGATATAATTTTTAATTTGACCAATAAAAACTTTGTAAGAATTTTGCATAGAAAGTTTTAAAACATGTAATTAATATTATAAATTTTATTATTTATTTTCCTGATATACCTTTTATCTTTTGAATTATATATATTTTCTCTCGCCAATATATAATTCTTTTAAAGATTCATATTGTCCACTCCACAACAAATTAGTAAGTATGGGCAACGTACAAGATAACTATTTATGACTTAAATGTATTTTTAATTCATAAGAAATAAGTAAGTTTTAGTTTTGTTCTTTGTAAAAAATAATTCTGTTTTTTATCCTTTTAAAATTTGAAATTATAATTTTGGTCCCTAGTCTATCATATAATCTTTTTGAACTAATATGTTGTTTACCATAAAGTTAAGTGATCATCTTGTGTGACATAATCAATTGTATATATACCATGTTAGCATATGACATCTCTAAAAATAATTATAAGACTTTAAAATAAATATTATTTATTTGCTTCAAAATGAACAATATGAATGTAAGAAAACAGAAATAGTAACTATAGATTCTAAATGGATGAAAATCAAAGAAAAATAAGAAGAAAAAATAAAAATTCTAACTTTTAGAGAGATGAAAAAAAAATATAGAAATCAAAATCAAAACTTACACAATTTACGAGAACTAAAATATATTCAAGTCTTATTTATTTTAACAACTAAATATTTTTTCTTATATATATATATATATATATTATAATTATAATTTACAATAATTAATAGTTTTAAATATATAAATTATGCTTTAAATTTATAATTTATATTGTGAAACAAAATTATTTCTAATTATTGATATTCTTTTTCAAAAGAATATAAAAAAATATGAAAAATAATATATTTAAAGAGATAAAAAGTAAACAAAAAAATTTAAATAAATACAAAAATTGCATGTTCATAGAGATAGAGTTAAACAAAATATTGAAATAAATATTAAAAAAAATGATGAAGGAGAGGGATAATATTTGAATTTGAAGGCAAATTATATATTTATTTAATTTTGATATTCTATTGTTGGTTTATAGATAATTTTGATATGAAAAATATAAAACAGTTGTAAGTTTTGATTATTTATTTTTTCGGGGATTCAAAAGTTGCAAGTTAGGATAGTGAAATTCTTTCATATATTAAATATAAATAATTGTCTAATGTGAGAGTATTTTTGAAGATTTGATGAAATGACTTTTATGGAATCTTTTGACTTCTTATATAAGTTAATTTTCATTTAAATTAAAATTTAATATTTTTAAAAATAAATTATTAATAAATATAAAAAAGCTCGTGAGGGTTTAAACGACACTAATGTAACTTTTATTAAATATTACACTGCTCAAGACACAAGACGAGTCATGGTTCGGTACCTCTTCGTGGAAGCCAACACTTCCTATAACATAATCATCGGGAGGCCAACCTTGAATCAACTCGGAGCAGTAGTGTCCAGCCCACACCTCACCATGAAATTCCCAGGGAATGACGGTAAAATCATCTCCGTCAAAGCAAATCAGAAGACAGCTCGGTAGTGCTACACCGAGAGCCTGAAGATCTCCTCAACCAGCAAACAAAGCAAGGGGGATCCCCCCACCGTAGCTCACATCACCCGCAGGGAGGCCACTGATCTTGGGCCAAGGACCGATCCCCGTAGTCTTCCTTAAATTTCATCTCAATTAATTTTGTATGAACGAGTCGTGCACTCTTTTCCCGCCTCAGTCTTTGACTGAGAGGGTTTTTAACGAGGCACACAGATATATCTAATAAAATGACTCATTTTGCTCAATCCATATCCTTATTTTATGTTTTAATAGAAGACGAGATCGGTCCAACCTCTCAACACTCTCATTTAAGGTCGAGTCCGAACCTTAATAAAATCGTTTTACGCCAATTTGAGGTCGATTACGAACCTCATTAAAGTCTGAGGTCGAATACGAATCTCAACACTCTCATTTAAGGTCGAGATCGAACCTTAATAAAATCGTTTTATGCCAATTTGAGGTCGAGTACGAACCTCATTAAAGTCTGAGGTCGAATATGAATCTCAACACTCTCATTTAAGGTCGAGACTGAACCTTAATAAAATCGTTTTACGCCAATTTGAGGTCGAGTACGAACCTCATTAAAGTCTGAGGTCGAATACGAATCTCAACACTCTCATTTAAGGTCGAGACCGAACCTTAATAAAATCATTTTACGCCAATTTGAGGTCGAGTACGAACCTCATTAAAGTCTGAGGTCGAATACGAATCTCAACACTCTCATTTAAGGTCGAGACCGAACCTTAATAAAATCATTTTACGCCAATTTGAGGTCGAGTACGAACCTCATTAAAGTCTGAGGTCGAATACGAATCTCAACACTCTCATTTAAGGTCGAGTCCGAACCTTAATAAAATCATTTTACGCCAATTTGAGGTCGAGTACGAACCTCATTAAAGTCTGAGGTCGAATACGAATCTCAACACTCTCATTTAAGGTCGAGACCGAACCTTAATAAAATCATTTTACGCCAATTTGAGGTCGAGTACGAACCTCATTAAAGTCTGAGGTCGAATACGAATCTCAACACTCTCATTTAAGGTCGAG